AATGGGCTTGGGAGCGGTATTAGAACAGCCAGACGAAAACAATGTTATGAGACCGATCGGATATGCTTCTCGTAAATTACTTAATTCGGAAAAAACCTATTCTAGCACTACCCTTGAATTATTGGGATTAGTATTTGGTATTACATATTTTAGAGAATTTTTAATGAATAGAAAATTTACCGTCTTTTCCGATAACATCAGTTTGCTATACTATAAAAATTTAAAAATACCTTCGGCAAGAATTGCTCGTTTAACTTTAAAAATTTTAGATTATGATTTCATAATAAAACACAAACCCGGCAAAGAGAACAGAGTAGCTGACTGTCTCTCCAGGGAGGGTATTATGAATATCATTGATGGAATAATATTCCATCATTATGCACAATTTGACGAAATTGAATGCACTCAAAACAAATTCGACCAAAATAAAACCAATACACGTAATATACCGGTATATACCAATGAAAACGCAAATGCACTTAATGTTGACATGTCAATAAAAAATAGTAAATATCACGATAAAACATTTAATCATTTAGGCCAAAATGATAAATATGATCTTAACGTAAGCTTACAAAAGAAAAACATACTTTTAGAGAGCTCTCATATAAAAAGTATTGATAAACCCCAANTTTTTAGAGAGCTCTCATATAAAAAATATTGATAAACCCCAAGAATTAAATTGCGCGAATAAAGAACATAATATAAAAAATATTGATAAACCCCAAGANTGTTTAGACAGCTCTAATATAAAAAATATTGATAAACCCCAAGAATTAAATTGCGCGAATAAAGAACATAATATAAAAAATATTGATAAACCCCAAGAATTAAATTGCGCGAATAATGAATATAATATAAAAAATGAATTGATATATGAAGGGGACGCCCGAATAAATAATGAAAATATACCCCAAAGAATAATGAGCGCGCAAATATATAAAAATAATGAGATTAATAAAGAAAATAGCGCGCAATATATTAAAAANAATGAGATTAATAAAGAAAATAGCGCGCAATATATAAAAAATTATAATACGGTACCGTGTCATCATGAATATAATTATAATAATAAAGGGGTAAAATATAAAAATAATGCGCAAAATGATAAAAATAATGAATATGAATATAAAGAGGTCAATTATAAGAATAATACACGAATTGATAAAAATAATAAATACATATATAAAGGGGTAAAATATAAAAATATTGCGCTGATACAACAAAATAATAAATTTGATAATTATGATATAGAAGATAATATAAACGCGCAAAATTTTATTGAGTATAATGAGAATGAGTTAATTTATAAAAATAAAGCGCATAATATTAAAAATGATGAATCAAATAATAATGGTGTACCTAATGAATATAATATACCAAATAATAATTATAATGATGAATATAAGATAAATAATAAAAATAATGCGCACAATAAGAAAATTGATATAAAAAAACACAATATAAATTACAATAATAACAACGTTCGAATTTGTAAGTCAAACTGCGATCATAAACTTAATAGATTCAAGTCGNATACATAATTTAACTTTATTAAATATTGAAGATTCTGAACCATCGCTTAAAAACATTGATATAATTAATAGTCAAAAAGAGGACCCATTTTGCCAACAAATAATTAAAGCAATAAATGGGGAAGACGTACTTTATAAATTTCGTAAACTTTCCAGAAAATTTTTAATTAAATATGACATATTATATTTTAAACAATACATTTCTAAACAAAATATTGAAGACTTGATTGTAATACCCCAAGCTTTAGTAAAAGACGTAATTTCGGCATATCATAATCCACCTATGTCAGGGCACATGGGAATAACTAAAACAATAAAAAAATTACAAATTAAATATTATTGGCCAAATCTCATAAAAGATGTAACAAATTTTATAAAAACTTGTCATGAATGTCAAATCAATAAAAAAGCACATGGTAAACCCGCAGGGCAATTACAACCCATACCATTAATATGTTGTAAACCTTTAGATAGATTAACTGCTGACTTTCTTGGTCCATTAATTAGTAGTAATAACAAAAAATATATATTAGTTTTTACCTGCCAAAGCACTAAATATGTTTTCACAAAAGCTACTAGACTAGCTGATGCTAATACTGTAATCAAATTCTTAATAAATTTCATATCAAAATACGGTGTGCCACGTTACTTAACTAGCGATAGAGGAACTCATTTTCGAAATGCAGCCTTACAACAAGTTTGCAAAAATTTTGGTATTCAACAAATATTTTCTTCTAGTTATGCTCCACAGACACAAGGCTTTACTGAAAGAATCAATGGTGTAATTTGTCAAGCCATCAGAAATTATGTAAAAAACGATACTCAACACAGATGGTCCTATTATTTACAATATATCACATTTAGCTATAATAATACTCCTCAAATATCCACCAAACATTCACCCTTTTATATTTTACATGGATTTAATGCTAATTTAACAATTGACTTACAAATAACACCAGAGATTTTACCTTATGACATTAGAAAGTCACTAGAAGAATTAAAATTAGTAAGGGAAAAAATACCAGAATATATAAAAAATGCGCAAGAAGTACAAAAACTTAATTATGATAAATCACATCAATTAACTGAATATTCACCTGGACAATTAGTACTAGTAAAATTTCCTTTTCAACAACCTGACAAAAGCCAAAAACTTGCGGCCAAATTTAGAGGTCCTTTTAAAGTAATATCAAAATTGAACAATGTTAATTATTTAGTACAATTAAATTTAAATAATAAATTAACAAATGATGTTGTTCATATCAGGAGAATCAAACCCTATCACAGTAGAGAAGAAATTAATCAAATCATATTAAATTCTCACCTCAAATATTATATTTAAGGTAATAAATTTTATTCTAAACTTTTTATAAAAATAATAAAAAAAAATACATAGGATATATTTATTAAGTTTCTTTCATAATCATATTCGCTATAATGCATGAAAATTCATTTAATCATTTTCTGCTATCATTAATAACATATTTAATTTGTATCACAAAATGCAACGCATTCATAGCTTATTCTTGTGCAGGTCCTAAAATCAATATAACTTCATTCAGCACACTAAATGTAGATCATTGCACCACACCGCCACAACCTCATGTTATCAGATTATCTAATATAAAACTCTTACAACGCGTAGAATTGTACTCAATCCCTTATAAATCATGCTATATTCTAGGAGATTATATGATAACAAAATGCAGCTTACTTGATGATGCACAAATCGTAGATAATGGATTTTATACAGATATTATAGATTTAAGTCCTTCGCAATGTAAAGATTTACATCATAAACTTTATTATCAGCTAAGTAACAATCAATTAATAACAGAATTAAAAATTAACCAAACTAAATATTTTCATACCACCCTTGCAGGCTCAGTCTCCATTAACGGTAATTGCGAAGGTGCTTCTTTTTCTAATGATAAAAATAATTATCATAATGTTGTCGTACAAGTTAAATATAAAATTTTGCTTTCTGACGGTTTTGCAATTGCTAATTATAAAGATGACGTAATAATATTACCAACAGGCACACGCATGAAATTATCAAATTATCACGGTATAGATATGAAATATGGAATAACTGTATGGGATTATACCGAACCTTCAACTGATTGTAGTGTCAATGAATTTGATGTTATTTACTCTGGTCCCTCGTCTTTAATAATTTCAAATGCTTATAATGAATCTTTAGAAACTCGTACATATATAGTACAAACTGATAAAATAGCCTTTGCACTTAGACAAACAGGTCTAGGCTTTGCTTGCAATATTGAAGTAGTTTTAACGGAACATCCTCGCCTCTTAATTTTGACAGATATGCAATATATGAGTAATTTTAAT